CAATTGAATAATCTGGTAGGTTCAGGAAAATATTTATGCCAAAGCCGCACCAATGACACTAAGTTAATGCCCGACACTCCAGAAACCTATAGAAAAATCATAAAATATTTATCTGAGACCAAGGCTGATTACCACACGTATCAACTGCGTCAAGAGAGGGCGCTCAGGGTCGTTATCAGAAGACTGTACCCATCTACGCCAACAGATGCTATAAAAGAAGAGCTCAAGGGTATCGGATTCCATGTTCGCCAGATAGTGAACATATTCAAGGAGGATAAAGAACAGCCTGGAATAAAAAATGAAATACCTCTTCCACTATTCTTCGTTGACCTTGACCGAACACCCGATGTCGAAAACATCTACAAGGGCACACGCCTTTATTATACAAGCGTTGTTGTAGAAAAGCCCTACAGCAAGCGCGACATCGTTCAATGCCATAACTGCCAGGCTTATGGCCATACGAAACGGTATTGTCATCACATTCCTAGATGTGTGAGGTGTGGTGAGCAACACAAAACAGAGGACTGTAGGAAGTCTAGAACTTCGCCTGCAGTATGCGCTTTATACCACCAAGGACACCCAGCCAACTACAAGGGTTGTCAAACATACAAAGATTTAAAAACACGAATGTACGCAACGCCTAGAGAAGAAGGGACATCCAGGCCACCAAGACAACCCTCTATAACAGTGAACGGAAGAGTGTCCTATGCTCAGATGTTCAAAGGAGACACTGTAAACACTCAATCTCAGGCCCTGCCACAAGAATCTAAACCTCAAGAATTCACACATCAACCTCAAGACCCATATCCCTCCATCCCTGAATACCCATACATTCATTCCTCCTCCTTCCAATTCCACTGACCTCACAAGCCTACTGACATCTTTCCTTTCCGAATTTAGATTTCTCATTACCCCCCCTTATTTCGCTACTTACTAATGTTATATCCAACCTCATTCCACTGCCAAGAAATCCATAAATGTCCTCAACCAAATTCCTCTCCATTCTCCTTTGGAATGCGAATGGTATTCGGAACCACATCAACGAACTGACAATCTTATTACATGACAAAAACATCGACATAGCACTAATAACTGAAACTCGACTAACCAACAAACGACAAATCAACGTGCCCGGCTACAATATTTATCGAACCGACCATCCTGATGGAACAGCACATAGTGGCACTGGCATAATTATCCATCGATCCGTTTCCCATCATTTGTTTCCCTTACCAAGCCATAATTTTCTACAATCCACAGCCATAATAATCCAAACACCCCTTTACCCAATAACACTAGTTGCGGCATATTCCCCGCCTAAAACACCCATTTCCGAATCCCAAATAACTTCCTTTCTGAATTCCTTAGGACACCACTTCCTCCTAGGTGCAGATCTAAATGCAAAACACCAGCAATGGGGAGCCAGATCCACAAACTCCCGAGGGCGAACATTGCTATCTGCACTTAATTCCCATCGCAGGCAACATCCTTTCACCTAATACACCCACATACTGGCCAACAGATCCCAACCGCAATCCCGACCTTCTAGACTTTTTCCTCCACAAAGGTCTTGGATCACTACACTGTTCTATTTCAAGGTTTGATGATCTTTCCTCAGACCATAGTCCTCTAGTCCTAACCGTTTCCACATCTCCCATTCCCAAATCATCCCCACCTTCATTTATCAGGGGGCCAGTTAACTGGAACCTTTTCCGTCAAATACTGGAAGATAATATTGACCTCAGAGTTTCCTTAAAAACACCTGAAGACCTCGACGATGCAGTGCATTCCTTCACTACCCTGATCCAGCAAGCAGCTTGGACTGCATCCTCACCTGATCGTCCCAAAAAATACCATAACATAAATCCTTTACCTCAAGACCTACTGGACCTAATCCATAGCAAACGTTGCTCTAGAACCCTTTGGCAAAGAACCAGGCATCCTGATGACCGGAAATCGTATAATTATTATTCCAAAAAGGTAAAAAAGAAACTGGATACTTTTAGAACCCAATCCTACAATTCCTACCTCTCCTCATTATCCGCTAGTGATAACTCCCTCTGGAATGTAACCAAAAAAATCCTTAAATTCCAGTCCATTTCCCATCCATTTCGCCGTGATGATGGTTCCTAGGCTTCGTCAGATGCGAATAGAGCAGAAGAGTTTGCTAAACATTTATCCTACACATTCACCCCTCATCCCAAACTCCATCCCAGCCACACTGCTAAAGTTGAAGAATACCTCTCTTCACCAATCCCTCTCTCTCTACCTCCAAAACCTGTTAACCCCTCTGAGGTCAAATTCCTTATAGACAAATTAAAACCCCGAAAATCCCCTGGATATGATCTCCTCACTTCACAAATCCTCAGACAACTTCCCAAAAAAGCAATCATATTCCTTACCTATCTATACAACTGCATTCTTCGCACAACCAACTTTCCTTTGGTGTGGGAACATTCCATAATCATCCTGTTTCCAAAACCAGGTAAACCTGTTAATAACACATCATCCTATAGACCGATAAGATTACTCCCGATCCTCTCAAAAATCTTTGAGGAAATCCTTCTCAAACGCATCCTACCCATAATCGAATCCCACAACATCCCTTCTCATCAGTTTGGATTCCGCTCAGGACATTCCACTGTCCAACAAGGCCTTCGTGTTGTGGACCATATATCCTCTGCACTTGAAAACAAGCATTATTGCACTGGTGCCTTTCTGGACGTAGCACAAGCTTTCGACCGGGTGTGGCACGATGGCTTGATTTTCAAGCTCAAAACCCATTTACCCCAATCCTTTTACCTAGTCCTCAAATCCTACCTCTCAAATCGTTCCTTTCAAGTCCGTTGTGACACCGAATTTTCCACTTACTATTCAGTTGAGGCTGGTGTTCCACAAGGCAGTGTCTTGGGCCCAGTTCTCTATATCCTCTTCACTTCCGATATCCCTTCAAATCCCGATACATTTCTAGCTACATTTGCTGATGATACTGTCATTCTATCTTCCCACTCAGATCCTCAAATAGCATCTCTAAACCTACAATCTCACCTCTCCTTGATTGAGCAGTGGTGCAACAACTGGCGCATCAAAATCAATGAATCAAAATGCAAACATATCACTTTTACCCTGCGACGCAGATCCTGTCCGTCAATCCTTTTTAATTCAATTCCACTTCCCTACTCAGACACAGTCCGTTACCTTGGCTTCCTTCTTGACAAAAGACTAACTTGGAACCCACATACCAGACTTAAAAGACAAGAACTTAACCGACGATATGGCCAGCTGTATAGATTACTAAGTAGGACATCCCATCTTTCGATTGAAAATAAACTTTTAATCTACAAGACCATACTGAAACCTATCTGGACCTACGGACTTGAACTGTGGGGAACTGCTAAACATTCGAATATCAAACGCATCCAATCCTTCCAGTCCAAAGTACTTAGAACAATAGTCAATGCCCCATATTATGTCACAAACAAGACCCTACACCATGACCTTAACATCCCATTTGTCCTCGACATCATCCCAACCAGATTCTCAAACTTTCACCAAAACCTTATCCATCATCCAAATCCTCTAGCTCAATCCCTATCCAGCTCCCTTCATCCCTACAATCCTCCACGAAGGTTAAAACGGCAGTGGCCCAGAGATCTCTTGTAAATATGCTTCTGGAGTCCTGGCAATGGCCAGCTTCTCCACTCATGTCCCGAGCGTCTGTGGCTCTAGTGCCCTCTTTCAGTCTCCATTGGCTTCTAATACTAGTGATGCGGCTGGAAAAGTGGCACTGGGATCTCCTGGAGTCTTGCTTTGCCTTCCACATGTGGGAGAAAAAGCCTGGCTCGGAGATTCCTGGGCGAATGTATATATTGTATATAGGTATGATTGTGTTTATAAGTTTCTTTTTATGTTATTGTTTACTTTTTTTTCTTTTATTTTCTTTCTTCATCAGTATTATTTATTTACTTTTTATATTTATATTTATTTCTCTATTATTTGTATATATTGTTTGAATGAGAACTCTTAGCCCTAATACTTATAGCCCTCCAGTGGCTAATTGTATTATTATTCAATAAATAGATAAAAAAAAAAAAAAAAAAAAAAAAATTTGTATACAGCGTTTTTGTCGATGCGATGGATAGTTTTCTTGATATTGGAGAAGACCCGAAAAACAGCGATTAACATCTTTTGTTTTGGGCAAAATCTTTTGTTTTCAAACATGGCGATAGTTGAGAACAGATGTCTCCGAAACTAAGCGAGGTAGTGAGAAAATGTACTAATCGTATTGAAAATTTTATCAGCTTTAATTTCGAATAGAACGTTTATGTCGATGCAATAGATAGGTTTCTTGATATAATCAAAAACCCAAAAAAGGTCCCGTCCCCACATTTGGCTCACCAGCTAGGAGTGGGGACTTTTAGTATGTTTATTTCCTTACGAGTCCAAACAATGCCCCAAAGTCAAAAAATCGTGTCTCCGCCATTTTCTTCTATACCCCGTTTCGAGCATTCATTGACTGGACTAAATTGTTAATATGAATTTTTTGTAACTGAGGTGTACAATCAGTCCTGTCGTAAATTTATTTTGTGAATTAAAATTTAGTCGTCATTCGGATAATTTTCGCCCAACTCTGTTCCTTATGTCCTTTTTTTCATACTCCTATAACAGTGTAAATATATTCACCTTTTGTATCTTTTATTTTAGTCCAGATGAAGACTTATGATGTCATTTGAAACATTGGTGTTTAGTAAATAGCTACCACTACTTGATGATATTTTTAGACAAACTCCCGCATCATCTTCTACATTATTTTGTAAATGATAATAATATTCAGATGTTTTTAAATATAAATTAATATAAATTTCTCATAAGTGTATATATAATTTCTAAAAATTTCACAAAAATCATTTCGCCTTTTATTATTTCAGTATTATCTACAACTACAGACAAGAGAAAGGCTGTACAATTAAGAGATAAATATATTTTAATTATAATTACAGGTGATTATTCATAAATACACTGGAGGTAATAAGCTGATGCCAGTTGGAACAGAAATAGTCAAAGTCGAAAAACACCTGAAGTGCAAATGTGATTGCATTGTTAAGGAAAAAGTAAGTATCTATTGATACATTTTATATTACTAATTCTATTTTCAAATACAAGAAATTTAATTTCATTTTCAATAAAAGAAATCTATGATTTTGTAAATACATTGAGTAAACCTGTTTGTTAAACCATTGTGATTACGTGGTACCAGCGTCAGAACATATTGAAACCCACAAGATGCGCTTCCAACCAAAACAGGAACTTGGGAAGGGGACAAAGAACAATTTATTTTTAATTGTTGTGATGTTATTAATCGTATAAGGTGTCTCATATCTCATTCACACATCTTCCACATTTTGGGGGACTCGCTGACGTCGTATAAGGTGTCTCATATCTCATTCACACATCTTCCACATTTTGGGGGACTCGCTGACGGTAAAGTATATTTGTGTATTAGTGCACGTTAATCCTTTTTTACCTATTTATGTTAATTCACAATGTCGATAAATGGGTAATGAATCTTCACTTGGAAGGTAAATGTAAAAAAAATCGTATCTATTAAACAAGGAAAGAGATATATATACTTCGATTTCTATTGTAGACAATCTGCTGTTATTGTTATTACATTTTATGTTTGATGTTGTTACTAAAAAGTTGAATAAAATACTCTACTCCTGACCAATATATTTTATATTAATGAACCCTAGAAAAAACATAAAATTGGCGATGAGGGAGGGATTGGAATAGTGATAAGTCTTTATCCGTCGACACCACCCCTCTTTCCTAAAAAGGAACATTTCATCTTGAAAAATACAGTATATATGGACAGAATGACATATGGTGTAAGTATCAACACTAATAATAGGAGCAATGCCATTTTAAACTCTTCAAAGTCATTCACTAGAGCAGGGAAGTAGTCAGAAGATTCTACCGAACCTATTAATACTAAGCTGCTGGGACTGGCTGTAGTTAGATCTGCTTCTAAGATGACCACGATCTTCCGTGAATCTTAAAAAAACTTTATTCCAGAGAACCTACCTCACAAGTAGCTTCAGATGATACTCTTCATGATAAGCCTTAGTACTCTTTCTAAGCGTCACCTTCGAACAGCAGTTCAACCACAGAAATTGGCATTACCCAAGGAGAGGAGGAACCCTTACCTACTTCACCAAATGAAACGGACCATCCTTCAGTACCATGTGCGATGCCTCCCTTCCATGAATTCACGGAAGACTATGGTCATCCTAGAAGCAGATCTACAGCCAGTCAGCCTCAGCTGCTTAGTTTAACTAGGTCCGATTGGTGAAATCTTCCGACCACCACCCCGCTCTATTGAATGGCTTTGATGAGTTTAAAATGGCATTGCTCCTGTTATTATTGTTAATATTTACACCACGTATCATTCTGTCTATGTGTACTGTAGTTTGAACAATGCACGATGAATTATTTCTTTTTTAGAGAGAGAGTCGGTGTCGAAGGGGGTGTATATATAAACATTTATTTGTCATTAAAAAAAAAAAATTGTATGGTATAAGCCTTTTAATTTCTGTTGCATATTAAATCTTTGTTCCTTTTTACTTTCCAACCTAAAATAGGTAAAGAAAGTATTGCGATCAGTTCAAATTTCCGATATGCGGTTTTCGACGGATCTATACGTTTCAGAGCCCCCTGAGTCCGAAAACCACATTTTTAGCCATTGGTCTGCCTATCTGTCTGCGGCAAGATTTTCTCGTAAAATAGTCAACCGATTTTGTTACTTCTTTTTTTTATTTTGTAGGATTTTGACTACTGATGCCTGTGACACATATTGGGTGTTCCCTGCGTAATAGCTACGGCTCTATGAGTGAAAAACATATTTTTCTATAGACTATAGCGCGAAAACGACTCTAACGATTTTGATGAAACTTTCCTACACTTTTCATACATGTACTAAATTCCAGAGAGAATTCAGGAAAAAAGTTATAAGAAAAAAATATATTTTGGGCCTAACTCGCTGAGTATATATTCTATGGTAAAATTAATAACCAAACTTTTGAAAGGTAATTAAATTATCAGCAAAACCAAAAAAAAAATCATCGGAATTGAACCAGTATCAGCGATGATATGCGTATTGTCTTTTCTACACATGTTTTAATTTATTACTTTCCTACCTCTACTAAGTTGGAAAGTATTGCGATCGGGTAAAATTTGCGATATGTGGTTTTCGATGGATCTATATGTTTCAGAGCCCCCTCACAACTAATAACGAAGTTACAGCTATTTCGTATGTAAGATTACGGATTCATATCTTGGTATCAGAAAGGGGTGAATGAGAGAGAATAAAGAAAACTAAGTGAAATTAAGAAATTCTGTTGCCCGCATCACATAAGCTTCTCTGTTGTTCTAGTTTTAATAGAGAATATTGTGTGACAAAATTAGGCTGTGGCAAAAAGTTTTTGATTACCAATATTAGAGGGTATTGAAATGTTTACACTGATCTACCACAAGCCGGTTTACATTGCTTTTGTTTATCAAAGAAATCTTACTCATTATTTTCTTTGATTAATTTTCAGAAAATTAAATGTAATTCTTTTTTTTTTTTTGTTTCTTAATGGACATATAAAAACTTAAAGAATAAAGATGTAAAATGATTATTAAAAAAAAAAAAAGAAAAAGATTATTAAAGATGTAAAAACTTTTCTGCAATAGGTAGCAAAGTTCTGTGAGTGAACCCACCGGATTTTTTCATTTGCATTTATTCATCATAATATCTCTACATTTCTAAAGTAGGTAGTTTCTCCTTGTGGACTATCTGCTGTTATTAATTATTATTACGTGTGGTATTTAATGTTGTTATTATAAATTAGAATAAAATATTCTACTCCTGATCAATATATTTTTCATATTAATGAACTCTATAAAAAATAAACATTTTTACCCATGCGTTTTCTATTTCTAGAGCAAATAGGTGGTCTTGGGTTTGTCTCTCTGGTCGCAACTAGCCTGACCTTCTTATAATTATGGTTCTATCAGTGGCATTAACTTTTTTACTTTCACTTACCTATATATGTAATATATAGTAAGGGTAAGTATTGCGATCGTGAAAATTTTTGAATCTGAGTTTTCAAGTAAATACGAAATACACGTTTTGAAGTCCCCTGAGTCCAAATAACCAAGTCCCGCAAAATGGTCGGTGTGTGAGTGTGTTAACAGTCTATCTCAAAAACGAAAAGTCGTACGGAAGTAAAATTATATATTTAAGATTTTTATATGCTAGGGGTGTTACAGCAACTTTTCCCGTCAAAATCGGCGAACCGGAAGTGGCATTTTGTATTATGGACTAAACACATTTTTACGATTATCTCAAAAACAGCTAAAACGATTTTAATTAAATTCATCAGTGTAAAATTAAGCAGTTTTAAATAAACTGTGGTTATCATTCTGATATATGATCGTTAGTGACTGGTGGTTCCTTCACGCTGAAAATCACACAAGGGAGAAGAAAAAGAATTATTTATTAAACATTTACAACATGATTTATAAAAACTAATACTAGCATTTGTATTCTGAGTTCTGGCCATCATAGAACATTTCTTAATCTTAAATGGAATTTTAACATTTACTTAGTTTTAGCAGGACAATAGGACAATTTTTTCAACTAGCCACCGTAAAATGTAAACTTCTAGCCTAATTTTTTTTTATATATCATCTCTTGATACCTTACAGATGCAGTTATTAATAAGAGCAGTGCCCATCCTGGGGCAGAACAATTGTCGGGGGGCGCTTACCTGGAAGGGGCGACAACCATTTTTTATGAATGAAAAATAAAAAATGAAAGCATATGAGAATAACTAATTTTAGCCCATTAATAAAGCAAATGAATTGGAGACACATTGAATGGAATAAGATTCAAACACTACTTAGTATAAATCAGCTTACATTTTTCGAGAGAAAATTACGTGATTGCTTGGGGATGCCAAATGTCAAATGAATACGAGCTGTGGTAGTAGTAGTGGTGCTACAAATTCTAGCTTAACCTAGCCTTATTTCTTACATTATAGACGATAGCATATTATGACGTAAAATGATAATGTTCGTATTAAATGCATATTTTTACTTACACTTACCTATATATGAAATAAATAGTAAAGGAAAGTATTGCACGCGTGAAAATTTTCGAATTCACAGTTTTCAACGGAAATATACGTTTTGAAGTCCGCTGAGTCCAAATAGCCTAGTCCTACAAAATGGCTTGTGTGTGTGTGTGTGTTATCAGTTTAGAAAAAAACGAGAAACTGAAACTGCATATTTAAGGCTTTTATATGCCTGGGACGTTATAACAACTTTTTCGTAAAAATCAACTTACCGGAAGAGGCATTTTTTATGATCTAATCAACACATTCTTATGATTTTATCGAAAACGGCGACAACGATTTTGATTATATTCATTATATCAGTGTTAAATTAAGCAGTTTTAAATAAAATGTAGGGTTTTTTTCTCACTGACGTTTTCTAACCGGGCTTAAATGGTCAATTGTCAATATTTCTTCTTCTAAAGTACCTTTATTTTTTTTTAAACTTTTTTATTGAAAAATATCAGTCTTTAATGGTATATAATAGGATATAATAATGCATAGTATAACAGTGCGTCTTTGATTTTTTAAAAATATTATTATACATGCAATATTACACACACACACACTAAGGGTGTACAATGCCATGATAAAGCCAGTCCTAATATATAGCTGTGAGACCTGGGCACTAACCAGCACCCTAGATAAAAATCAAAGATTTTAGAGGAAAATCTTCCGCAAGATACCGGAGCGATCTGGAATCAGAGTACAAGCGCATGAAGAAGAAACACCAATAAAGAACTGCTTATAGAAACTGGTCAATCAATATCCCATGATATTAAGGCACATAGGTTAAGATAGGCGGGGCATGAAGCTCGTAGCAATTCATCTAGAAGCCTCTACGTAATAATGAATGCCTCAATAGAAGGCAAAAGACCACGTGGAAAGCCAAAAATCAGATGGAAATAAATAGCCCATTAACTGTTACAAACCTTTTTTACCCGTGATATGGGATGTTTTGTAATAAACATAATTGCCAAAAACCACATTTTAATTATAAAAATAAAAAAATTATAAATTAGTAACAAAGTAACTAAGAGACATTACATTTGGAAAATTCCAAACCATACATATTTGTGTCTCTGTAATGCAGGCAAAAAGAAACCCGTCAACGTTTCGCCAATTCAGTTATCATTATCAGAACAGTAAAGAACAGCTAATCAAAAATTACTTCATGAAATCCAATCGCATACTGAAAGTCCTGCATGTCGCGTATTTTCTGTCCTGATGATGCCTGAATTGTTCGAAACGCTGACGAGTTTTTCTTTGCCTGCATTTTAGAGACAAAAGCTGCGTGGTTTAGATTTTTTCCAATATATCAAACTTTTCAGCTGAAAATAGATATTGCAAAAAAATATTTGAATGAAAAAAAAAAACGACTATAGAAATGGGGAAATTCTATTCACCCTCAGAGAATTTACTTAAACTAACAGAGAAATTATTTGGTAGATTGATATGGAAATTGACATCTACGAATATTTAAACTTGGTGTAATAGCCGGGTACCTTTCAGGACACAGGCTATTGACAAAAATAATTTTTTTTTCCCATCTCTATCGGTGCACGTAAATATTCGAAATTCTTGTGTTTTGTTCGTGGGAGGTAAGTACCCGACTACTATTTAAATGATAGTAGATGTCAATTTTTCTATCGATCTACCAAGATATTTAAGTGAATATGTGAAAAATACATTCCCGTAGAGTGGATCGAATTTCCCAATTTCTGTACTTGGCTTTTTTTTTTTAATTCAAATATGTTATTAACTTTTCAAACATTTTTATAATTTAAATATCAACAATTTATTTTCATAACATATCTTCAGCACCATGTTAGAATAACGAATCGTAGTCTATCCCACGTTGCACATTCATTACTTTAACATGGTGCCGATGATATGATCACAGGATATGATTTAAAATCTATTAATAATCAAAATAGTTAAACTATAATAAAAATATTTTTCAGTATTTTGTGCTCAAAATGTTTCAAAACATACACGGAATCTCACTGAGTAATTACAGCAGTAAAAGTCTGTCAAGCCATCTGCTCAAAACAAACGTACCTTTTTAGCGGCTTGATTAAACACACTTTATGCAATAATTTTCCAAAATTTAAATCGATCGAACACATTTTATTTAATCACGGTTCAGTATTTTTAGCTCAATTGTTTCAAAACACTCTGGGGATCTCACCGAATAATTTGAGCCATCAAACTTAAAAATCCAAAAAGCGTTATATAGTTTTCAGTGGACGACCCGAACACATTACCCTCGTTTGGCTTTGCTTAGTCGAGTAAAAAGTGAAAAAAAATCTTAGATTTTTTAGGGTGCACAACTTCAAATAAAAATACAACATTTTTCACAGTCCGATTAGTTTGCCGCGGAAAATGTGATGAGAATATCACGTCAAACTCGAGGAGTGATTGGCTCATAAAATCCCAGGATATGTTGATATATATTATTATCTTTGAATATAGATGACAGTTTAAATAAAATTAACATTTAGGTATCAATAAAATAGTTACACATAAACTACTACGCCCTAACCTAGCCAGCTAGTCGACTTTTCTTAATCGGTTTTAGTTTACCCATTTTATTTATTCATGTAGCTTATACATTTTTAATATAATTTTTTTTTACCTCAAATTATTGGTGGGGTGAAACGATATTCTCGCTCCCTCCACACTTTTATTGCAGAGGGGTCGCCACCTGTAGTCTGCGGCTATGTTACCAGACAAATTACATGGCGGAATCTTGGCTCATTGACCTCTACAAATATAAATCCTTTCCTTGAATCACTAACCCAATCCTTAGATCCCATCTATTCCTATTCCTCCATTGATGAAATGGTGGAGTGTCTTTCCTCTAATCTTCCTCAATTCTTAAATCAACAAGCACCCTTAAGGACCTCAACCTTCAAACGCCCCCGTGCTTCCTGAATTAATCCAGAAATATGAGAATTGATGAGGAGATGAAACACTGCAAGGAGGCGTTTTAGACGCACACTTAATCCGGAGACTACTTCTCATTCAAGACTCTCCATGCTTCCTTATCACAAGCCCCAGATCCTATGTCCGATTGGAAAAATCCTCAAAATCTCTCCATAGTAAAGTCAAAAACTTGTTCATCCTACCCCGTTTCTTCTGATTAACTGAATTCCCACTTTGCCAACCCTGACTCATTACAACTTTTCTCCTCATACTACATTCTAAAAACTTCCCTTGACCCTGAAAATTTATTATATTTGGAATTATTTCACCAGAAGAGCTGATTTTCTCTGTCCTAAAATCCAGAAAATTTCCCACAAAATTCCAGTTTCCCACCAATTATTGTCCGCCCGTTGAACAAAGTTACAATTCCCTCCAATGTTTTCGATTTCAGACCCATCTCTATTCTCTCCAACCTTTCCAAACCTCTTGAAAGAATCGCCCTTGCACAGCTCAACACCTTCCTAGAACAAAAAGTTCTCCTCAATCCCCTCCAGTCTGATTTCCGATCCAAGTTCTTCGCCCAGTTTGCTTTGTGGAAAATTACTCAAGACCTTAATTTCTACATAGACAAAAATAAAATCTCTATCCTGGTACTGTTTGATTTCTCAAAAACATTTGATTAAGTCAATCATAAAATCCTCCTTTTCGAACTCCCAAAACTTCCCATATCAAATAGTGCTCTAAATCGGTCCCATTCCTTCTACTATCAAAGATCCCAAACAGTCATCACACCTAATAAAACTCCTTCCTGCCCCCCTCACTAACTCGCGGTGTTCCTCATTCTCTCCAACTCTTTTCTACATCTACATCAACGACCTTCCTGATTCCATCCATCATTTACAATTTACTTCCATGCTGACGATCTCCAAATCTACTTTTCGTTCCATCCTACCAAGATACTTAAGGCGATCCACAGGCTTCAAGAAGACATTGATAGTACCAATATTTGGGCAGTGAGCTACGATTTAAAGTTGAATGTTGAGAAGACCAAAGTCATTTTTATAGGATCCAAGCATCTCTTTAATTCCATTCCTTATTATCCCCTACTCTACCTCAATGACCTACCTATCTGTTTCCGCACTTCCGTTAGAAACCTTGGGGTAATGTTTGATTAACATCTGTCCTGAAATAATTATATTTTCCAAATAATCCGAAAACCATTGCTACCCTCATACAGTTTCTAAGATTCCGTGATTCCATGCCTCTTAAAATCCGTCAACTCCTAGTTTCCTCACTTATTTTCCCTAATTTCGATTATGGCTGCCTTGTAAATGGTGGACTATCTGGTGGGCTTGAGATCAGATTAAACAGAATGAATTGCTTCATTAGATTGATTTTTGGAGTCTCCAGGCGCTCCCTCATCTTCCCTCCTATACCTAATTGAAGTGGCTCTATCTAGTCTTCCAACGGCAATACTTCCTATGTGTATTACTTTTTCAACCGAAAAACTCTCTTTCCTTCTCGATTTGTTTACTCATTGTTCCTATATCCATTCGTTCAAAACGAGATCCCACCCCTATACCCGTTATTTCTTTACATAGAACTATTTCCTTCCACCTTGTTAGGGAATCCTCCTTGTTTTGGAATTCCCTACCAATCTCCATACGCAAATCCTTACCCTTCAACTGATTTAAACATAATTTATCTATCCATCTCCTAAGTGATCAATCTTCCGAATATGTACAAAATAATGTTCACGTTTTTTCAGACCTGTCAGTCGCATTTAATGTTATCCTACAGATAATTTTATAGCATCCACATTGTTTATGTGTACGATGTTTACAATTACTGCATACAAGCTGGAGAAATTGCAGTTGTTTATAATTGAAGTAATTATAAGGGCAACACGTTTGAGTGTACTGCAGAATGGAGCACGTTGTAGTGTGTAATAAAAGAAAATTTCAAAGGTCAACAGGAGCAAAGCAGACGAGAATTCCTTAGTTTCCTTAGCTACGTGGTCAAGGATTCCGGATTACTGGTTGATCCAGAAAAGGCCAAAGCTATCCATAGTTATCTAACACCCATGCCTTTGAAATATCATAGGGTAAACCAGAGTAGTTATTGTCATTTTCATTTTTAATTAAGACAGACCTTGTAGATCTTTGACCGCGAGATGTGGTATATATATATATATATATATATATATATATATATATATATATATATATATATATATATATATATATATATATATATATATATATATATATATATATATATATTATTACCAAACAAAGGATAAAGTAAAAATATAATAAAATAATTTTTAATAAATATAATTTTCCATAGGATTTTTTTTTTTATTTGTTGGGCGCCTTGCTTTATCAGCCTTTCATTTCTAAAGAGATAAATCTAGATAACCTAAGATACTTGCTCATTATTTGGCCATCATTAAATATTTACTCTACCATGCTAGCTCGGGTGAGAGGGGGTTAGGTTGGATATTTTTATAAAGCAGCAAAAGGGTTAACAGATCTATTTACAGAATTAATTCTATGTACAATAAAAAGAAATAAAATACAAGGAAAAAGAGGGAATTTAAACATAATTACTATATACAATTAAAGATAAATAGCAAGATATTTAAGATAATAATGATAATAAAAATAACAAAAAAAGATACTTATTCTATATACAATAGTATGGCATTCCTCATCTAAACATAAAAAAAAATATAGTCAAGATATAAGACATATAAGATGTAAGAGCACGTGCACATGCTAATATATCAATTAGTAATAAGACACAGGAAAAAAAAAAGAGAGAAGAATTATATATTTTTTTTTTCACTGCTATCTTAATCTTGGTTACAATATATACAGTATATATATATATATATATATATATATATATATATATATATATATATATATATATATATATATATGTATATATATTGAATACTGCTATATTCCACATGAGCGTTCTGACTCCTGAACACTCGGATTTCACAATTTAGGATGTCTTAAATCATGTCAGACGCAAAACACTATACCCGTAATCTAAAGTCACAATTTATATTTTTATTAGTCATGACTCACTTTCTTCCACACCACGTCACCCCCTTATGGCTCAAATGGATTTCTGAGAGGATATTATTAAATAAATGTTTTCTCACATTTGTATGGACATTAAATCAAGAGATTTAAATTTGATACATATTAAAATGTGTGTACTTGAATTAAATATTAACCTAGTCTGTACAGTTGAAATAAATTGTGTTCCTATATAATAATGTGTGTTTTTTCCTGATCAGGATTGCAATTCACTCCAAAAGTACGTCAAACAGCAGTGTAAATGCATGTGTATTAATGATGATGAGAAAGAAAAATGCTTACAAGCTGATCCTAAACTTAAGTTTTGGGATTCAACTTCATGTTCCTGTCAATGCTTGAATGTCAAGGACTGCACAACTGGTTATGTATTCAATAAACACACTTGCAGGTAACTAGCTTAAGTTTTTTGCTGAAATAATTTATTTATAAACAAAAATTTTCAAACTCACAGTGATTTGTGACTATATCTATGATTGTATAATAGCTTTCTTCATCTGATGCTTGATGCATTTGATTTTATTATTTGTTAGTTTATAATAATTTCTTTTTTCTGTTGGTATCACAGATCTTGTAGATCTTTTACCGCCTTAACAAGCCTGCTCCATCTCTGCCTATCTTTGCTATTTATTTCCAGTTATCTGCATGCAGTTCTATTACATCTTTGTTGGTTCTACCCATCTGTTTTTTGACCTTCAACGTGGTCTTTTCTCTTCTATCTAACCATTCATTGTTATCCAGGTTTCCAGATGGATTGCTTCAAGCCACATGTTCCACTTATCTTAACCTTCGTGCCTTCATATCGTGAGATATTGATTGACTAGTAAGCAGCTCTTTATTGGACTCCTTTCACCATGAATCTTAGTACTCTGATCCCAGATTGCTCCTGTTATCATGCCGTGGATTTTTCTCTCAAACCTAATACCATAATATAATATGAGGGTCACAGGACCGAAAAGTGACTGTACACGTGAATAATTTTGACCGTAACCCAAAGCAGCAAAGTGGTTAAAGCAGGGTAGGAGTAAAAATGGGCATGGCTTAGCGGTCACCATGACTGGCCACGTGGAGGTTAGGGCTGGCTTGAGGTCCTAAAAGGCTGTAGTTCAAATTTGAATTCAAACTTCCCGACATGATGGACCTCACTGAATCCTGGCTTCTGATTGGCAGTGCAAATCGGTGTGCCAGCTCTCGCAAACTTTATCTGCTCATGTCCTATGGCGAAAAGAAGACAGGGTGCCAGTCGTGATAATAATCCAGTATAGCGATCTATAAACGCATTCTCATGACTCAAACCTAACAGCTATTTCCCAGATCTTCTAGACTTTGCTCACAGGTGGCAGAATTTCCAATATATTTTCTTTATTTATCTGTTGCTATATTTAATTTGCCTTTCAAGGGATATTATTTTATGTTTTTTATTAATTTGGATTTTTATTTTCTCTCTACTTATCTGTTCATTTTTTTACTTAAGTCCTAATTTTTATCAGTTGAAAACTGTATTTACTTTGTAAAAATCGATAATTATATGTTCTATGTTTTTCTTTCTTAGCACATTTTCGCCATCTTAATCAATTTTAATTCAAATCATTACGATTGTCACGTTGCTTTCCGAACTTTCACTAAATACCATGCTTCCCAACCCTTATATGACTAATATCCTATTAACTTGTCACGTTAGCTCCCAATCTCTTCCAGCCCACTTTGATAAATTCCTTGATTATTTCTTCCATGACTGTTATCAAATTATTGCCGTTTCAGAAACCTGGCTCAAAGTGAACATCCCCTCTTCCTTTATATACATCCCTTACAATGGCCTCATTCGTCATGATCGAAGGGACCAACAGGTGGTGGTGATAGTCTTCACGTTCATGAGACTCTGAGGACAAAATCCTTCACAAACAAGTTTAATAAACTATCATCTATTGGAATAAGAGGCCAAGTGTATTGTTGTATTAAACAATTCCCCACTCATCGTCACTTTGGGGTTTAAATAGGATGTCAATCATCCAATGACCACGAACAGCTGTGTCCCCCAGGGTTGCTTTCTAAGCCCAACTCTGTTCTGTCTGGCGATAAACGACCTGGTTCTCAATTTACCAAGAGGAATCAAAAGCCACTATTGTTCGCGGATGGTCTAGCTATGTTTTGTCGATCTGAGAACATTGCAAAAATACAATCCAAATTACAGGACACTGTTAATAGAAACACCATTGGTCATCGATTTTCTCCAGAAATAAAACAACAAATGCTTTTAGACTATATCTTTACACTAAAAACAGCCACTACATAAAAATTAGCTTCACTAAGATATCTGAACTTCACTATCTGGTGGTCAGACAGACTCACGCTACTAAAACAGTATCGCGCTTTAGTAAGGTCCAAATTAGATTATGGGTGCTTTATATACGGTTCTGATCTTTATAGGACTCCTAATAGGATCGATGCAGTCCATTATACATACATTAGGATCACGAATGGCGCATTCCGGACAAGCCATATCCTCAGTCTCTGTTCTGAGGCAGTTGTACCCTCTCTTTTGTTTAGAAGGAAAAAACTGACTATTAACTATATCTCTTAGACCATATATTTCAGTGATATTGAATATCAAATATAAAAGCAGTTATAAACTTACTTAAAACTCATAAGTTATTTAATAAAATATAGAAATGTATATAATTTTTTTGTATTATATTTTTTATTTTTCAATTTTTTAATTTATTTATTATTATTTTATTTTTTCTTCTTCTTCTGTGGAATTTCTGAGCTCCATAGAGCAAAAATAAACAGGCGTTGATAACCCTAGGGTTTTACATCTCAAAGATTATTTAAACAAACAAACGTAATCAACAAACGTACAAACGTAATCAACGGATCGTACAACCCGTAATATCTATAAGTACAATGGAGATATCCGGCTGTGGATCCGAAAGATTCGAATGTGGCCAAAAAGCTATGTCTCTTTCCTTTCCCTACTATTGAAGACAAAGTAAGCCGGTTATCCAATGCGAAATATTTTAGTAAGTTAGGTGCAATGTCGGGATTTTGGCAAATTACACTGGATAAGGAGAGCGGGGATCTAAGCGCTTTTAATACACCTTGGTGAAGGTATAAGTTCTTGCGTCTTCCTTTAGAAAAACTTGTGCCCCAGAAATGTTCCACTTTAGGTTCAAGAAAATTTTTGGTGATTTTGATGGTTAAGAGGTTTTTGTGGATGATATATACAGGTGTAAAACAGAAGAGAACGATGCTAATTTGAAGGCTGTTCTAGACAGAGCGATGGAAGAGAATGTTAAATTTCATGAGAATAAGTGTATGTTTGAAGTGAAAGAAGTAATTTAATCACAGATGGAGCTATGGGGAAGGGGGCGCTTTCTGGAGCCCCTCCCCCAAATGATAAAATGTAACCATCTTTTATAGAAAAAAAGATTTAAAAATTATCTTTAGTGTAAAGTATTATTGTTAGTGTAATTAAATTTAATAAGACTTCAAGAATCTTTAAACATCATTTCATGTAGATAGTATCTTTCTTTCTTTTTCCAAAGTAATAATCGTAATATATATGAAAAGAAAAACCTTCGGGCTGAAGCCCTGTCCAAAAAAAAAAAATTAATCCTGGACCCGTTAGTGGTCATGATTATATTGCCACCATTTTAGTACGTGCTTACATCACTCACGTTTTTCTTGAATTTCTAAAGAAACATTTAACTGATTACAGTGCAATAATAACTATTAGACTAAACTAAACAACTATTAGGATAATGAAAAAATCACCTGGTTTGTCTATTAGCAAAACCTTGAAAGATTATTTGTTCTTCGATTTTATAGAGATTCGATTCATTGTGTTTTGAATATTTGAATGAAATCCAAAAAATTGATTTTATAAAGTCTTTCCTACTTTAACTATACAAAATCTGGTGCGCGTAACACACAACTTTCACTTACCGCTCTACTCAGAATAGAAATTATTTTCTGTCGATGTTGAGCTAATATAAAATTTTTAAAGCGCATTTTTAATCGAGCTAAAGCTTAAAGATAGCAAATCATTAATACCATTAAAACAACAAAAATCCTATTAATGACATCAATGGTTGATTACGAATTGTACGATCCGTTGATTACGTTTGTTCGTTTGTTTATATATGCTTTGAGATGTAAAACCCTAGGGTTATCAACGCCTGTTTATATTTAACTCTATGGACCTCAGAAACTCCATATAAGAAGAAGAAAAAATAAAACTATATAAATAAAATAATAATAAATAAATAAAAAATATAATATAAAAAAAAGTTTGATTCCTCTTGGTAAGTTAAGAACCAGGCCGTTTATCCCCAGAGAGAACAGAGTTGGGCAACCCTGAAAGCAACCCTGGGGACACCGTCAAGCTGTTTGTGGTCATTGGATGATCGGCATCCTATTTGAACCCCAAAGTGACGAATTTTTTAATATAACAATACATTTGGCCTCTTATTCCAACGGATGATAAAATAGTGCAACGAGATAAAGCGGAAGTTTTAGTGATTTTACGGATTTTGGTCCAAACATTAATTGGTGTTGCAGAGGAATTTATGGAGTTAACAAATTTCTTCCATTATTCGGCCTTACATTGGTTAATTATTTTCCTACATATAGTCCACTGTCTCTTATATTCTATTAAATTTTTATAGTTCACATATATGATATTTATACGCCAATCTTTTATGGCTTTTTTGCTGAAGTGAATTTTGATGAAATTTAAGGGACAAGTTGTGTTCTGAGCCTCAGTTCATTGAGATTGATGCTTTAGCCGCTTCCTGGATCCTACTCGTGTTGGTTTCACAGCCCCTGTCGATATTTATTTGGTCCGAAAGGGTTTGAGGTGATGAGGCTAATGAAGTGAATAGAATTCAATCAGATTTATTAAGGATCCATCTTGATTTTATTCTAGTGGGATTCGTTGTTTTAAGCTTGATGACTATCGGGAAATGATCACTACTGTATAAATCAGGCAATATCGTCCAGTCCATAATATTGCACAAAGAAATATCGATTGCTAAGAAAGGTCCATGGTCCATAGTCATGGCTAAGGACGGTAGGTTCTCCGGTGTTATAAAAATAGATTAGATGTATCTAAAAAACATCTACTATTTTACCTCGTGTGTTAATGTTTTAGGATCACCTTAAGGGCTTACTATGAGTGTTAATTTCCCCATTAAAATAACAGAACATAACGTAAAATAACGCAGTTTTTAAGCCGTTGCAATGAGTTGCAGTACCGACATTTTCTCTTCAATTATTCACTGCAGTCAACCATCTACCATCTACAGTCAACCACTATTAGTAAATAGGTAATTAAATAAATATAATAAAAATGAAAATAATAAAAGATAAGACGAATATATACAATGTAAA